GTGTCTTCTTTAGATATGTTCAGCATCTCCTTCATTTCTTTTATTATTTCTTCTTTTACCTGGTATATTATTTCTAGTTTGAATTCATTCAAAGCTTCCCGTAGCTGCTTCTTTATTTCTGTTACTATTGTTTCAGGTATTTCAGGTATATGGCATGTATTTTCTTCTATGTACATGGCTCCTAGGCTTTCTTGGGGGGATGGGTTGGGTGTTTGAGATTGCATTTTGGTCTTTCGTTTTGTCATTTTCCTATATTACTGTGTTTCAAGTGTTGTTTCAGAGTTTCCCCTGGTTGTGTTGTAAATTGACTCTTATGTCCTGGGCTCTGGGGACTCCTCTTGTAGTAGCTCCCTCATTGGGCAGCAGAGCCTCTGGATTACAAGAGGCTTGCCAGGCTCCTCTCAGGTAGACCTAAAGCTTCCTCAATTTGCACAGTTTCAGGGCCAGACCAGACTCGCCTCCACTCAGCTGGATGCGCACCTTCCGGTCCCCAGAGGTGGTAGTTCAGCCCTGGGCGGGAGAAGGGGCAGTAGGGCAGGCCTCCGCTCAGCTGGATGCGCACCTTCTGGTCCCCAGTGGTGGTAGTATGGGCCCCAGGTGGGAGAGGTGCTGCTTTTGTTATTTTTAAACGTTCCATCATTTCATGATTGCTAATTGTGATCTGGTCCTCAAGGTCTGAAATTTGATCCTCAGTTTCATTTAAATGGTTTTTCAAGCTTTGAATAGAATTTTTTGTTTCTTGGATATCTCTTTGAGTTTGTTTCATGGATTCTGCTTGTTTCCTATATTGTTAATTCAAGCTTTCAATCAGATTTCCATGCTCTTGTACTTTTAAAAATCTATTTCTTCTCTAGCTGTGCTTAGCAACTCCATTACTAAGGTTATTGTTTCTGTCTTTACATGAAGGGTTACTTCTAGTTTGATTTCCTCTATGGGCTCATGGATTTGTCTTTTTATTTCACTTGCTATCTTTTCAGAGATTTCTGCTGTGTGACTTTTAAAGTCCTCAATTTCAATGTCTCCCTTACTTGCTCCAGATGGACTAGGTTTGCCATCCTAGGAAAAATATAGGACTTACCCAACAGGCCTGGCAGGAGGAATTCAGGTGTCTGGTTCACCTCTTCATTGTGACATCCAGAAGTTGGACAAACATCAACCACACAGTAGGACTCTAAGATACACACTACCAATAAGTAAGACTAGTGGAATTGAAAGACAAAATATAAGCCTGAAAGAAGAAAATGACCAAACAAAAAAGCAAACTCCAATCTCAAACATCTAGACAGACAATTTGACAAAATATATTTCTTAGACTCTATTTCTAGGTTTAAAATATGAGAAAGAGCAGAGTAGTGAATATATTGATCAGATATTTTTACAACCTGTCCAGTGGAAAACATGATTGAGGTGTTGGGAACCAAAAGTCCCATCACTATATTAAAAACTTAAAGTATTCTTGTCTAAATACCCTAGAGAGGACAGGAAAATAAGAAATGGCCCCTTAGTAATGAGGAATGATCATAAAATACATCAAGATGCAAGATGGTCCCTGCATGATGTCTCCATAAGCATTCTCTACTATGAGAACCGTCATTCTGTTCAGTCTCCTACCTTGAAGTCACTAGAAAATATGTAACAACTCTTGCTCCAGTGACAAGCTGATCAGTGCAGTATCTGCCTCATAAGTAAATTATAATTGGTGAATCCTTGTTTCATAAAAAGCCTCCTTGTACAGATATTTTGTTGTGCGAAACACTTTATTTCCTTTTCTGAGATGTTCTCAAATGATTCCACATTATGCATTTTTATACTGATTTTGTAGTTTCTACTATAGCTTTCAATACATCACTAATCCTTTGAGATTAAAATTTCACTTAAGCATTTTTACTTTTGCCCATTTTCAAGTTTGTCACTCACATATTTTAAGGAATTTTTTCCATTATCTATTTTACTGTCTTTTATCTGGTAAAATGGCATCATTTTTCTCTTTGTTTTATAGATGTTTTAGAACTTCTGAACAAATAGATTTAGATCTGCCAAACTGTTTTCAATTTTCTTTTGAAAATTGAAATTGAAACTGAAATTGATTTGAAAATTGAAAATCAGTTTTAAACTGATTTACATTTTACAAGCATTTTATATTCTATTTAATAATTTAGTAATTCATTCAAAAATATGTATATGGGATTTTAAAAATATGATTCAGAGAAGTGACATTTTCATTAGTCTTCTATCAGTTTTTCAATCCTATCTTTTGAATTTTATCTCTTAATACTTATTTTTCTTTGTTTTCATTTAGTTGAGTTCTTTTAAAAGCCATAAGATCATTTGAAGGTGAATTCATGTGAGTGTTGTGAGATAATAGGATCTGGTACAGCTAAGGAGTATTAGACTGGACTATATGGAGATTTTGGAGAATATGTTTGGGTATTTCTAGGGATCTCCAGTGCTCAGAAGCCCTTTTGCTCTTCCACCTGACTCTGTGGAATGCCATTGTAAGCCAATCTTTAAATCCTTTTGTATTTGTACATCTTGCATTAAGTCTATTTCTCTAGTGAGCATTGTCTGATAGGTATTAAAATTGGAAGTAAAATTGGGGTTTCAGGTTTGGAAAGTGAGAAGAATATCCTGCTAATTATCAAACTGTAGAGAACTTAGTGTGGTTAGTAGTTTCTTGATAAAGTAAAAACCAGAAGACACAAGTTATTTGTCATTTATCAGTTTTATAAAACTTGAACAAAGATCCATGCAGAACATGTAATGATGTTATTTTTAAGTTGTGAAACTTTATAAGATTAACATATGATCCAGTTGTGTTTGTCACTAGATGAATTGGGTAAGTCTCCAGAAAGATTAGAGTTATTTTAAAGATTAAATTGATAAAAGCATATGTCTATATATTTGTTAACATTGTCTCATTTAACATAAATTTATATTTTATTCAAATACATAAAATAATACAAAAAATTCTTTTATTCATGAAATACTATTATTTATAAATGAAGAATACATATAAATCAAGTGAAACTGGGCAGGATATATGCCAGATATTTTATGAAATTGGTGCTTGAATATTCAAATCATTCATGGCAGATAAATTGATAGGGAGACTCACCAAGGGATACTAGATGATTAATATTTTCCTGCATCACATCCTTATACAGCTTGTCTGGGAATATTTCTAGTAAAGCCCAGGCGTGTAGGGTGAACTCTATGATCACATCTTCAATGATCACTAACCCCTAGAAGAAGATGGACATTGTAGTTTAGACAGAGAAGTAATGACAAAGTTCATATTTATGAAATATTCATTGTAGCACTGAGGCAGAGGAGAATCTAGACATGTAAAGAAATTAAAGTATTTATAGCAATACCTTTTCACTCTTAGCACTATACTGAGATGTCAATTTCAGAAATTGTGCCCTAGAAACACCCTCTGAATTCATAAATTTATAGTTAAGAAGAACATTACATAGTTCATGGTGTAGAAAAACTTACAAAATTTCCAGTAAGTAGTAGTTATGGTTTCTGAAACAGGTTATTAAAATGTGCATTTACAATTTTGAGTAAAAATATCTTTCCCATTATTTTAAGGAAGTTTGCATACAAAACACAAGGTAAACTATGATCATCATTTTGCTTTGTCATTGTTTAAAATGACTATGGTTATTTTTTTCCACTTACATGTACTTCATATTCCTCATATATTAGATCATTTACTCTTCTGAATGTGAATGGGGAATTACCCAAAGATTTTCTTCCTATCTCAAACATGTAATATGTATGTTTTATATTATTCATAAAAAGTCCACAGAACCTAGAAGGAATAAGCACCATGACTGCTGTAATCTGTGACTGAAGTCTGTCTGTATGAGAAATGACTTGACCTTGCAGAGAGAGGCTCAGGACAGAAGCTCAGCAGCACAGGAAATAGCCTCTCTGGCTGGTGAACTATAGTTTGTCCACTCTGACCTTTACTGAGCTATGAATATTCTCCCTGTACTCTGAAAACTGTGAACATCATTCTTGAAGGTCTCATCTGTGGCTGCTACCCCCGTGTTCTTATGTAAAAGAAGTTCTTTACCAGGTGTTGCACACACAGTTCTTCAAAGACGGTCCAAGGTCTTCAGTTTTCCTTCTAGTGAATCTCTTACCCTACTCTTAAATACAGAGTCTCAGTTACCCTAGTAATAGTATGTAGGAACAGCACACAGCATCAAATATGAAAAATTGTGAATTCTTACCAGGAAAGAAGTATGACTTTGTTCAGTAATGGTTATGTTAGGGATATTTTCTGAAATTTTTTTTTAAGATTCAATTTTTTAAAGTTTTTTTTAAGGCTGAAATATTTTTTAAGATTTATTGTTATGTAATGTTCTTTTTAATCTTGTAATCCAAAAATGAGCCCCCAAACTCGAGTTCAAAAAATGAGGCAAAAACATATTTTAAAAAAGCAGTGCTGATTTATTTTATCCTGGGCCCAGGGACACAGTACAGTTGGAGTTTGCAAAAGCCGTGTGTCTTTCTCAAAGCTTGCAGCCTTTATGTACATATCCCAGTTTACAAAGTATGGGGTTATGGGTATGGATTAGGGCAGAGGACAGAAGTCTAGCAGTAATTAACAATCTTTTGTCAACTTATTTTAGTACCACATCTGTTATTTGTAGAGGGCAACAATGGTTAACATATCAATTAGGTTAGGTTTTTAGGGATTTGTAATTCTTTATAGAGGGGAGCATTGGTTAACATATCAATTAGGTCACCCAAGGGTGGGGGAACACATACAGAACAGTATGGCAGCCTTACATGTACCTTGGTCATATAAACATAATGAAGCTCTTTTTGCTAGTGTACAACACTTAAACTGTAATTTGTGAATTCAGAAGGCGTTACTATGGTACAGTTTCTGAAACTATTTTTTTTCTAATTTATGAAGTTTTAAATTGGTCAAAGTGATTTGTGAATCTAACTCTTCCTAACCTTCTTCTATTATTCTTCAGCCACAGACTGAACTGCATAATCTTCATCTCACGGTTGATTCCAATTTCTTAGTGAATGAGCCCCAGCATTGCCTTTGGCTGTCGTGTTCTACTTCTCACCGGGATCTATGTTTAGCATTCAGCATGGCATTGACAACACTACAGAGAATACAACAGGCTGTGAAAAAAGTGTTTCCCTAAAATACTGGAGACTGAATGAAGAAGAAAATATCATAGATGTCTAGGAAAAATATTTGTATTTTTAACTTAGTTCATGCTTCACAATTCTAACGTCATGTAAATTTCAAGTAAAGGCAAAATACAAAACTCAGAACTTTACTACACAGAATACTTTACCTTGTTGTAGGCAGCTGAGTTAGTTAGAAATATAGACAGTGAGACAGGGCTAGGCCCTTGATGGATTCAGTGCATAAGCCTAGATATCTTGAAACTGTGGGGGAGACAGACATCTCCTGCTGTGGACCAAGCCTCAAGACAAAAGATCAAACAAATACAGCCATATCCTAAGGACTGATATTCTAAATAGCTCACCCTGAGGAAGCCAGGAGTCACCATCCCAACCTCCTAGGTAAGACTCACTGATCTCTAAGAATGTCCTTTTTCTATGTGACTGGCTTCCCAATTCATCCCTGTTGTAATCAGTTTTACCAGAACTATTAATCTTATTGGCTAACCATAGTTTTGTCCCACCTTATGCCCATCTGCCTTGTAAGTTCCCAGTTTTCCCCACGTTGAACCTATCTCACCCCTTGATTTTACTCTATAAAAGTCCTTGGAAAAGACAGAGTCCTTGGCACCCGCTCGGGACTTTTTCTGTCTCTCTTCAGACAGAAGCTTTCTTTCTCTCAATAAATACATTCTACCCTTAACCTCCATTGTACCTAAAATTCACTCTTGGATTTTAGATAACATGAACTCATACTGGATATAGTAAGTTGGGAGTTTCATTCTCTTATAGCAATCTTATCCTATTTATAGTCAGGTGATTGAGTTCAAGTATAAATATATTGCAATTTTAAAAATCCTTTAATTTAGATGATAAGAGAAAGAGTTTTGCCCTAGAATAAGTTACAGGATTGGCAGTGGGAAGTGGAATCAAGGGATGTTTACCTTGAGGTCACTTCCTCCTTCCTCTATTACAACTTCCATTTTCCCTTTCCAGTGCACATGAAAAAAGTCCCAATCAGCTCCTTGTGCATCATCAATGCCCGCCCTAAGCACCATCCCCAGTTATATGTGTATCCCATACCCCACATTCTGGTCAGAGAAACCTAGACTGCCTATAGTCACAGATTCCTCTCCACATCTTTGAAATAAAGGCTATTTTTTACTTTATATTTTGCTCTTTTATTGTGCCAAAAACTCTTTCATAATGATGCTATGACTCAGATGGCAGGGTGCATTAGCTCCTGGGAATCCCTCCCAGTTTGAGCTACCCCGCCTATGACCCACCTGTTTTTTCCTCCAGAACTGTTTACTTGCTGCTGCTAATCTTCACACAACAGTGACCTTCCTCACTCATAACAGGTGAGCTGCCAGTGGGGTTTTGTGTTTCTGTTCTTAAAATTTGCAAGCTTGCATCAGAAAACCTACCCTTGCTATCCCTGGATAGACATAGCACTTTGCCTTAGGCCATACAGCCTGAAGCAAAACTGTTATTTTTGTTCCCTGGGATCCCACCCCACACTCTTTGGTGATGGTGATGGCCCAGGAGAACAGGTGTTGGGACTTTCCATGTCACACTTTCAAAATAGGTGATGATCTCTCTTTTGTTAAGTGTGATCTGGGACAATTTTCACATTCTTTGAGGGGTGAGCTAAAGTTCTTACACCCTGAGGCAAAATTGTTCTTTTGGCTCACTTTTAATTTGGTCATGAGGAATACTATTTCCTGACCCCTGAAAAACACACCTCTGGGGTGCCTGTTTCATACCCTTGATGTTTTTGGCCTCTAGCAGGCTATGAAAACAAAAATTCTGATCTTTTATTTATGCTTTTGTCATAATGGTGGCAAGTTGGCAGAAATCCTTCATTTTTAGGCCTTTTTCACTTTAAGGATGTGTCCTTCTCTCACTGTGTCTTATATGATGGCCCAAATACTTGGGGCTCACTCTGTTCCACCAGACCCCTTAGATGATATATCTCTCCTCTTTCCCTGCATCTCCATTTTCTCCATTGGCCCACCATATGTAGTCTCATGTGATCCAGCATTCCAGCAAGCCACAGGGTTCTCAGCAGCCTGCTGCAACTTGTGTGGAAGACAGTTGAAACTCAAATTAGGTTCCTTTTGTGCTATTCTTATTTCAAGAGATCTCTATTATTTAATCTACAAAAAGGTTCACACTAGTTTATTTATTATAGCTCGAATTGGCCAAATATATTTGAAAGCACTGTGAATTTATAACATGTTTGTCAGTCTATATATCTGTTGTCTGTTCATACTATACAGATCATCTGTCCATGTTTGTCCATTCGCCTGCTCTGTAAACATCTGTTCCTTTTTAAGCTCAACAATCTTTTATCCTCCTCTTTTACATTTTCAGATCATTTAATCAAGGTTTATTTGGGTTATAGATAAAAAAATGCTTCCATCTAGGTTGCTAGCTGGTCAAAATGATGCTAGAATTGGTTAGACAAAATCCCTTGGACAGAGACATTGGACAGGATTTCAGTTGATGAATAAGAAAGTGGCCACCTGGTAACTTTAACCAGCTCTTGTTCATTAGTCAGAGTCCCCCATAATCCCCATAGCCTTATGGAAGACACCACAACTAGAGTTCATATGAGTAAGACAATTCATTGTTGCTGATCTGATGGTATATTTATGCCTTCAAATGTAGAATTGAGATTGTTTGATGACAAGTATTTTCTTAGAAAAGACAAAGACTGTGAAATACTCAAACTAAGACAAAATGGTTAGGCCATTTTGGTTAGTTCAAATTTAGATCAGAGAGTAGTTATGAGAACAGATATCTGTCAAATATATAGGCTCATAATGACAAATTTAAAAACTGACATTCCAATGTATTGGAAGCTCTAAAAAGAAAAACAAAGGGGATATGCATCTTAATGTACATAATTTACTCAAACTGGATATGTGGTATATGGAAAACATAAACAGATTAATTAAAAGCAATGAAACTGAAACATACTGAAATCTTCTTCCCCCAAAAGAGTTTTACTTCCAAAGGTTTTCCTGCTGAATGTTATCAGACTGCAAAGAAATTATTGATGAGAATATTTCTAAAAGTGTTGCACAAAATAGAATAGAATGCCCTTCATTATGTGGAGTCAGTATCAACAAAACAGTAACAACAAAAATGAATAAAAACTTAACAATGAAAATAGATAAAAATTTTTAAAAAGATAAGACCTTAGGACAATATTTGGATAAAAATGGGTGCAAAAATTAACAATAAGATTCTTAGAATCAGAATTTAAGAACACAGATACATCATACACTTTGACTCATTACTGGAATGCAAGAATGATGCAAAACAATACAAGTCAAAATATGTAGCACATCACATACACAGATTCAATAATAAAATCTTTAATGATAAAAACATGCATAAACTTCATAAAGAAGATGAAATATCAATATTAATAACAGTAAATTGCAAGAAACTCACAATCAAAGTCATACTGTATGGGGGAAAAACACATGATTTATGTTACATTGTAATGTAACAAGACAAATAGGTTTTCCCCAACAGCTGTTTCATCTTCTACTGGGAATTTTATCCAGGAAAATTGGAAATGGCAAAAATGAAAGGAATAGAAATAATGGAAGATATCCAATAGAAAACAGAAAAATAAATCAAATTATTTATATTTGCACATAATATGATCCTTTTCATATAAGATTTTAAAATCAACATCAGAAAACTTTTAGACAAACAAATTTAGCCAAATGACAGGATATAAAACTCAAAATACAGTAATCAGATTTTCTAAACACAAAAATTGACTGAGAATAATTCAGAAAATAATTTTATTTGTAGTACCTTCCAAAATACCAAATTACATTTGATAGAAATGGTGAAATATTTCTGCAGTTAAACTTACAGAATGCTGAAAAATACACTAGAAGATGGAAAGAACTCTATTATGAATTAGATAAAAACTATCACATAAAATTCTTACGTGGAAAAAGGGGTGATTTTGAAAAGTGGAAGGAATAACTGTATCACAGTATTCATTGTGGGATTAACCCACTGACAAGTTCACAGCTAAACATAGATTCTGGTAGGAAGTGTGTAATCATGCAGACAGGACTTGGAAACCCATCTTCTCCTAGCTGAAACTTTCTTCCTGTCTTTGGGTTCCACCTCCAATCATGTGAGTAGTTTACCGTCGCCAGGCCTTTCTTCCATGACAGCCTGCATTTGAATATGCAGAGGAAATGTAGAATGATGACAAAGAGTATGGTCTGTCAGGATGCTTTAGGTATTCTTACTTTATAAAGAAAATATAGAATTATTAATATTTCAAAAAATAAGAATAATAATATCCTGATATTGTTCAGTGAATACAATTTGAATAAAATTCAATATAAATTCTTCACAAATAATCAGTTCTTTTTAATTTCCACATTTGGCTCTAGCCTCATCACACTGAACATAAAATCATTGTTTTTATAACATATTTTGCATTTACAAAGCAAAAATATTAATTAAATTTCTAAAATTGCTCTGGCTTATAATGATTTGCTTACAATAATGGTATGAGCTAGTAATCGAGACTATGTTTGAGATTTTAAAAAACCTGTAAATAAAAGTAACTAAAATTTCTCTTTTGCATAGATTTAAGGTCTACAAATAAAAACTGAGACTGGGAAGGATATATGGCAGATATTTTATGAAATTGGTGCTTGACTATTCAAATGATTGATGGCAGATACATTGATAGGGAGACTCACCAAGGGAATGAGATGATGAATATTTTCTGACATTGCATCTATATACAGCTTTCTCTGGGATGTGTCCAGTAGAGCCCATTCATCTGGGTGAATTCTATGATTACATCTTCAATGGTCATCAATTTCTAGAAGATTATGGACATTGTAGCTTAGACAGAAAAATAATGACAAAGTTCATTTTTTGAAAAATTCATTGTAGCACTGAGGCAGAGGAGAACAAGACATGTAGAGAGATTAAAGTATTTACAGCAACACCTTTTCACTTTTAGCACAATACTGGGATGTCAATTTCAGCAACTGCTTTAGAAACACCCACTGAATTCATAAATTATAATTAAGAACATTACATAATGCATGGTATAGAAAAACTTACAAAATTTCTCATAAGTAGTAGTTATGATTTCTGAAACAGGTTACTAAATTGTATACCACAATTTTGAGCAAAAATATCTTTCCCATTATTTTAAGGAACTTTACATACACATCACAAGGTAAACTATGATCATCATTTTGCTTTGTCATTGTTTAAAATGAGCATGGTTAATTTTTCCCATGTACCTGTACTTCATATTCTTCAAGTATTAGGTCATTTACTATTCTGATGTGAATGGGGAATTACCCAAAGATTTTCTTCCTATCTCAAACATGTAATATGTATGTTTTATATTATTCATAAAAAGTCCACAGAACCTAGAAGGAATAAGCACCATGACTGCTGTAATCTGTGACTGAAGTCTGTCTGCATGAGAAAAGACTTGACCTTGCAGAGTGAGGCTCAGGACAGAAGCTCAGCAGCACAGGAAATAGCCTCTCTGGCTGGTGAAGTATAGTTTGTCCACTCTGAACATTACTGAGCTGTGAGTATTCTCCCTGTACTCTGAAAACTGTGAACATCATTCTTGAAGGTCTCATCTGTGGCTGCTACCCCCGTGTTCTTATGTAAAAAAAGCTCTCTACAAGGTGTTGCACACACAGTTCTTCAAAGACGGTCCAAGGTCTTCAGTTTTCCTTCTAGTGAATCTCCTACCCTACTCTTAAATACAGAGCCTCAGTTGCCCTAGTAATAGTATGTAAGAACAGCACACAGCATCAAATATGAAAATTTGTCCATTGCTACTAAGGAAGCAGTATGACCTTGGTCAACAATGGTTACTTTAGGGACATTTTCTGAAGCGTTATTTTAAAAGACTCAATATCTTGTTTCTAATTTATGAAGTTTTAAATTGGTCAAAGAGATTTGTGAATCTAACGCTTCCTATCCTTTCATTATTCTTCAGCAGCACACAGACTGAACTGCATAATCTTCATCTCATGGTTGACTGCAGTTTCTTAGTGAATGACACCCAGCATTGCCTTTGGCTGCCATATTCTACTTCTCACAGAGATCTATGTTTAGCATTCAGCACAGCGTGGACATTACTACAGCAAATGCAACAGGTTGTGTGGCATTTCTCCAAAAGGCTGGAGACTGAATGAGGAAGAACATATCTTCTATGTCTTCTGTAAATACAAAGTCAAAGACTCACACACATACAAATATACTGACACATGTATACAGATTTATCCACATATATATAAATAGTAACTAGATATGAATAAACTTATGTCTTATGATAATTACTTCAATATCAAGAAAAGCTTGCCTAAATTTAGATTTCTTGATACCTCCCACTTGCACTAGGACTATTGTAATTACATTAGAAAAATCCGTTCCAACTCACATGTGGATGACCCATCACACAGTTTTCAGTTATCTTTCAGTATGGATTAACTCCTAGGCTAAGAACTAAGCATTAAATCTGTGGATGGAGAAGGACTCATATGACTTCAGTCTGTGCCCAAGTTATAAACTCATCTTCTGAATGTTCTAGACATTCATGGAAGTGTGAACCTACCTCTAAGTATCAGGAAAAATTCAGGTACACTAGTACAAAAGCAGGCACAAGGCTTTCAAATTTTCTAAGGTAAAACTACAAGTGTATGATTATGGTTATTAATAACTATATTGGCAATGCCATCATTTTATAGATAGGAGCATAGAAATCACTCAATCATGAGTTCATTAGCTACGTTAGCCTTTCAGTTCAGATCTATATTCCTTAGTTCATTAAAAAAACTAAAGATACCAATTGTAGGAGACTGGGCTAGTGATCAGCCATAGGTACTCAAGGCTGTTGATCTTTCTTGGGGATCAGAGAGTGGGCATAAAGCTGGCTTTCCATTGTTCACGTGCAGGAAAGCTGACCTGGCAACTCCCAGGGTAAGACATCAACCCAGGGCTAAACAAAAAAAATTACATACCTGGATATAATGTTGTTATGTTCCTGGTGAATCATTTACATTCTTGAACCTTAGGTTGCACAGTTTCTACATTATCTTATTTTACTAATGAAAAGGGGATTTCTAGACTCCTAATGTTCTTGTCCCCTTGAGATGGGAGGTCTCTGGTCCCCTTTGCTTAGAATTTTTCTCTTTTATTCATAATTGTACCTCCTAGCTCAGTTTCCAGGAAGTATCAGGAAAAATTCAGGTACACTAGTACAAAAGCAGGCTCCTATGACCAATGAGCCACCCAATATGTAGGATTTAATTTTCTTCTTTAGATACGCATGGTATAATTTTCAACTTTCATTAGATTTGCATCATTTGCTAGTAAAGTTCGGCATCCCCCATCACCTTCCACCATGCCTCACTGCTGTTTGAAACCAAGACAGTTGGTCCAGGAATGGCTATCAGTCATGGTAAGATGTTTGATAAGAAGATGAATCAACACAAATAATTCATTCATTTGAAGAGGTCAGTCAGTGATACCCATCCTGCCAATTTCATCCTTAAAATCACTGCTTCAGAAAGTGACAGAACTACCTGTGTCGTATATTGCCACAACAATTTAAGATAGTGTTGATCTGAAAAAGGACACATGTAAATTACTGGGGACTATGCATTAAACTCATTTCTTGATGTAATATTTTACCTGAGTGGTAGCTATAGTCCTTGCAATCATCTTCTGTTTTAATTATCAGTTCTGTAATTCACCCCAGTTTACATTTACTTGCACAACTCTCCATATATGTGAGGAAGCCTCCTAAATTGTATTGTCTCCCCAAAACTCACAATAGTTAGTAAATTTAAATTAGAGTAACAATGCAAAAAGATGGAGAAACCCTGAAAGAACAATATAAGAAACAAACAGAATGCATGAAGTAGATTCAAAGAGATATACAGAAATCAAAAATTCCATCAAAAGTTGGCAAAACCACCTCAATGAACATAAAGATAGAATTTCACACCTCAAGGACAAGATTTCACGTAGGAAGAGGAAAGGTCTTTTAAAAATGACAAGGAATCAGGTAATAACAATTCAACAACTGCAAGATGGCATAAAGAAAAACAACATAAGATTGATAGGTGTCAGTGAAAAAGAAGGTAACAAAATAATACCCAGAGGCCATTTACAGAAGTACCAGCTGAAAATTTCTCAAATATGAGAACGGAAACTGACACATACATCAGTGAGGCAAATAGAACTCCAAATAACCATAACCAAAATAAAACTACATACATTCCAGAACATCCCAAAAATCCAACATAAGATCAGAATACTAAAAGCTGCTAGAGGGACTGAGGATTTAGCTCAGTGGCATAAGCACCTGCTTTGAAAGTGTGCAATCATGAGTTCTATCCCTAGTACCAAAAAACAAAAAAATTAAAAGCTGCTATAGAGAAGAGACAGATCACCAATAAAGGAAAGCCTATCAGAATCACAGCAGATTTATCAATACAAGCAATGAAGTCAAGAAGAGCATGGAGTGAAGAATTTCAGACCCTAAAGGGAAACAAATTCCAACCCAGACTGATTTATCCCGAAAAACTTTCCTTCAAAATGAATGAAGAAATGATACTTTCATGACAAAGAACAGCTGAAAAACTTCATGATCACCAAACCAAGCCTGCAAAGAACACTGAAAGACAGTTTATATATACATAGGAAAAAAAACACTATGCAAGGCAAACAATTAAACAGAATGGAAAAGTAAAGAATCAACATCGGAAATATAATATGTCAAAAGTAAACATATATATATATATATATATATATATATATATATATATATATACATATATATAATAACCATTAATGTAAATGGCCTCAATTCACCAATTAAAAGAAATAAACAGAATGAATCAAGAAACAACAGCCAACCATATGCTGTATACAGGAAACACATCTAACCCAAAAAAACTCATATACTGAAAGTCAAAGGATGGAAAACAATACTTTCTGCAACATGGTATCCCAAAAAACAGGGTAGATATTCTGTTTGCAGACAATGTGAACTTCAAACCAAGAATGATACAAAGGGATAAAGAAGGTCATTACATACTAGTTAGGGGGAAAATTCACAAGGAAGAGGTAACAATCTTAAATATCTATGCACTGAATTCCAGAGCACAGAGCTATACAAAACAAATATGAACAGAAATGAAAAATCAAATAAACAATAACACAACAGGAGACCTTAACATGCCATTGACACAACGGGACAGATCAGTCAGACAGAAGATCAGCAAAGAAATAACAGAACTGAATCACACCTGTGAACAAATGGATTTGATAGATGTATACAGAGTGTTCCATCCAACATCAGAATATACATTCTTCTCTGCAGTACATGGGACATTCTCTAAAATAGACCATATACTAGACCACCAAACATATTTAAGTCAATGCAAAAGAATTGAAATTATCCCATGCATGTTGTCAGATCATAGCACAATGAAGCAAGAAATTAATGATAAAAGAATCTGCAAAAACCCCACAGTTCCCACATGTGGAAACTGAAAAATACACTCCTGAGCAATCAGTGGGTCACAGAGCAAATTAAAGAGAAATTACGCAATATGTTCAGGCAAACAAAAATACAAATACATCCTTCTGAAACCTCTGGGATGCAATGAAAGCAGTCAGCAGAGGAAAATTTATTGCAGTGAACTCCCACATCAGGAAAGCAGAATCAACACAAATAAAAAACCTGATGCTATATCTCAAACATCTAGAAAAAGAAGAGCAAGTCAAGCCCAAAGCCAAAAGAAGGGAGGAAATTACAAAGGTCAGAGCAGCAATCAATGCAATAGAGACTAAGAAAACAATACCAGAGAATCCATGAATCAAAAAGTTTGTTCTTTGAAAGAATAAAATAAAGTTGACAGGCCTTTAGCCAACTTTATTTTAAAAAGGAAAGAAAAAAATCAAATTCATGCAATAAGGAATAAAAAGGGTGAAATAACTATAGACCCTGTAGAAATACAGAAGATCATCAATACCTATTTCAGAAACTTAAACTCTCATAGCACCTGTTTCTAGGAATAAACATAGGAACTACCAAAACTGGGTAAAGAATATGTAAAACTGCTGAATAACCTGATGTCAATCAATGAAATTGAAAATGTAATTAAATCTCTACCAACAAAGAAAAGCCCAGGTTCAGATGGATTCACTGTGAAATTCTACAAGAAATTCAAAAAGGACTTAATGGCAACACTCCTCAACCTCTTCAGTGAAATCAAAAGGGAAGCATTCTCCCTAACTCATTACTGGAAGCAAACATTACTCTAATAACAAAACCTGAGAAAGACATAACCATAAAGGAGAACTATTGGCCAATCTCCCTAATGAGCATAGATGCAAAAAATCTCAATAAAATTTTGGCAAACAGAATGCAGCACATGAACAAGATTATAAACCATCACCAAGTGGGATTCAGCTCGGGAATGCAGGAATGGTTCAACATATGCAAATCAATAAATGTAATCCACCATATCAATAGAACCAAAAATAGGAATCATGTGATCAATTCTATAGATGCAGAAAAAGCTCTTGATAAGGCCCAACACTTATTCATGATAAAAACCTTACAGAAAATTGGATTAGGTGGTCTTTACCTCAATATGATTAGAGCCATCTATGACAAACTATAGCCAGCATCATATTAAATGACCTAAAACTGAAAACTTTTACCCTAAAATCAGGAACAAGACAAGGATGTCCATTATCACCACTCCAATTCAATATAGTGTTGGAAATGCTAGCCAGGGCAACTAGATAAGAGAGAGAAATAAAAGGACTAAGGATCAGAAAAGAAGAAGTTAAATTGTCATTATTTGCAGATGACATGATACTCTACATAGAAGACCCCCAAAAACTCCATTGAAAGGCTCAGAGGTATAATAAATTTAGTAATGTAGCTGAATACAAAGTCAACACTCAAAAATCAATAGCATTCCTATACACTAAACAGCAATACTACTGAGACAGAAATAAGAGAAGCACACCCTTCACAATAGCACCCAAAAAATGAAATACTTAGGAATTAATGTAACAAAAGAGGTAAAAGATCTATTCAGAGAAAATTATAATACCCTGAAAAAATCAAAGAGGACCTCAGAAAATGGAAAGACCTCCTTTTTCATGGATAGGAAGAAAAAACATTTTGAAAATGGCTATTCTCCCAAAATTGTTATACATATTTAATGCAATCCACTAGCATACCTCACAGATGTA